GGCAGGTACAGCCAGAGGAGCTGTGGGAGAACCTGCAGCCACCTGGCTGTTCCTGCCTCTCCCCAGCTGATCCAAATCTCTGAATTGGCACCAAAATGGCATCAAAACTCCCAAATGGATTCAGCCAAATTGAAATGCAACGGTGATCCGAATCACTGTCGCTCCAAAATGGCCAAATCCGAAATAGAAATGGAACAGCTGTTTTGCACAGCCCTAGTAATTAAGCCTTTGTTCCAAGAATAAGGCCTTAGTAAGTTTGGGTCATCAGCTGCCATAGTGGCTAATAAGCAACCTCACCTTAGTCTGGTCAAATTTTGATTACCCATGGCAACCAAAGATGATTTCATTTCTAAGTTTGTTAGCCATGGAGCCAAAAGTAACTCGAATCAGCTGAAGACTTAAAGGTGAATATTTGAAAACTTTCATTTTTTTGCTAGTAATACTTAAGAGATCCAAGTTGAAGGCAACATCTATGGGGGAGGGGAAGGAGTTTGTCATATTGGTAACCCAGGAGCAAATCTAGACAAGATGACAGTGAATAGGTTTGCTTTAAAGGAAATCATCTTCTAGAAGACTATATATAGTGAGACAATCAGTGAATCTCCTTTTCCTTCATATGGCTAACAGGAGTTGCTGAACTCGCATATCGAAGAGAGCACCTCAGGTGCAATGTGGCTGTTGAGTGGGTTTGACAGTGTGTTGAACTTCTCATTTTCTCTCAAGCTTGACCTCCTACAGATCTTCCATGCATGTATTTGTCTGTCGAGAAGGGATATAATTTTATAGTAAACTTTACGTTGAAATGGGAGAGTTAAACAGAATATCTTTGTTTACAAATTCTTTCAAGGAGTACAACTTCAGTAAGTTGGGTTTCTATACAGGAAACAATGATAGCAACCCGGTGTGGTGTTGGCTTCTTAAGAAGGCATTTTTATTTTGATGAAAACACTAGCTTTTGATTAAACCTCCCTTTCATACTTACAATAAAAACTGGATAAGTACAAAAATAGCTTTGTCTTCTCTTAGCAAAGATTTAACATTACTGTACTGAGGTCCTGTTAATCTTTTTGTAAATGTAATCGAAACCTGGTGGTAGAACACTTACTAGTATACACGTATTTATTATATTTTAAACTAAATTAGACTTGTCAGATGGACAAAATTAACTTTGGGTTCCTGATTGAATTTGCACTAACTGAATTTTGAGAAATATTAATTTGTAGTAGGCCTGTCACTAGTACAGGTGAGTCAGATTACACTATATCTGTTAATTTTCCTAACTAGCATAGGTCTCCATCCTTTCTTATCCTGCACTGAAGTCCATGTTGAATTTTTAACATTGTAATTACTTTCCAACTAATAGCTTTCAGTATTGCAAGCTTGAATACATACAAGCTCATGTACCGAATGTAGTATATTATTGAGAGCTCTCCTTAAAACACGAGCCTTAATACTGAAAGGAAAGACTGGAATGCTAGTCAGGCAAACCTTTTCTCTAATGTTCTTCAAGTGTCCCTGTTATTTTTTTTTAACCCCACTTTACTATAGGTTTAATCTCATAATTTATACAAAATTCTACTCTTGGTTAATGTAGTTACAGTGTCATAAGTTACATTTTATATATCTGCTAATACTGTTTACAGAAGCACTTTAGGTCTCTTCTGTATAAAAATATTCATGTTAAGATTTTCTGCTTTTAGCATTGTTTTTATAAAACATTTATTTTTATGCAATTTGGATGCTTTTGTTGTATTGATGTTTAGGTCTAATACAGTAAATTAGTTGTGTTGTATGATGACCTGAATGATGGTTGTAGGGAAATAGACTTTTTTCCCATTAGGAACTGCAGAGTTATCTGGCTCTATGTTGGTAATTGATCTACACTTTGGGTGTGTCTACACGTCACCGTATGGTGACATTGCTACAGTGCTGTGCTTTTAGTACGTCCTTTTGGAAGTACTAAAGCATGAGGCAGTATGGATGGTTACTGCACCATGTGCACAGTGCATGTTTGGATTTTGCCACTATGTTGCTATAGTGGTGAACTATACCAGGAGAGTGCACCACTATGGTGACATAGCTGGCAATCACATGTAGACCTGTGTGATAGCCATACAGCATGCTACACCAATGTGTAGATGCGCCCTTTGAGATGAATCTTGTAATGTGCAAGATGGAGTCCTCACTTGGTCATAGTTCCCTCTAAAATGTGTAACTGCCCATTTTGTTTTTGTCCAAATTTGTATAGCATAGCCAAGTCAAAAGTGAGTTTTTAATTAGGGGGCATATTTGCCTTGATTTATAAACATTTTGCTGAAACAACTTTTGTTCTTAAAAGTGGATTCAAGAACTAAGAGAACTTCAAGTTTTGATGGAGGCTTGTATGTATAGTGGGGAAGGAGGGAGGGTGTAGCTGAAGCCTGGAACCTCAAAATAAAGACTGGTTTTCTGCTTTTAGGGAATGTTTGATCATTTGGAAGGGAAAGGATTAGATGCACTGGTATGAATGAAAAATTGAGTATGATCCTTCACTTTGAACTTCCTTTCTTGTTTTCAGCTTTTGTCACGACTTAAAGGTTATCTAATTCCCAGGAACACACCAGAGTTCAGATTCTCCGATATGGAAGGTCACAAAAAGAGTATTCAGAGGTAAGACTTTAACTTTCCTGCATGGTGGATTTTTTAAAAATATGTATAAATGCCTAAATACTTCTCCTCATGCAACTAATTAAGAGCTATACATTCAAGAGAGTGAAACGAATTTACTTTAATTATTAGGCATGGCTTCTCTGTGTTTAAGGGCTTAACTGGTACAGAAGGTAGGGCTTGAAAGATGTACCAGGATCCTACAAGCAGGTGACTTGCAGGAAAGAGGGCCCAGAGCAAATCTTGCACTCAGGTGAGATAATGGCTGAGCACTTAGCTGAGAATACCTCATCAGGACCCTTTAGGATATTGGAAAATGGGGAGGATATGTAGTCAGATATAACCCCACCAATATGATCCAAAGATAGGGAGCCTATGTTTCATAGTGGTCTTCTTGGGATGGTATGTAGGATGGTATCTTGGGCATAGACAGGATAAGGTAAGGAGCAGCATGTAATTCATTCCTATTTTGTCCCCCTTCTCTCTTCCACGCCCCCCTCCAATAAAGCATGTCATTTTTAAGAATGAAGTAAATTGCATTTTGTCAGTGCTCTGATGAATAGTGAAACCAACTGGTTTCTTGTTAACTTCAGTGTTTCTGCTGAGTACCCTGGCTTCAGTGCAGAGAGAGTACAGTGCTCCACTGCTTCAAACTTAAACGGCTTGAGTTTTTTGTTTTGCCTCTTAAGTTTCCCAAATAGCAATAGGACAGATTGGTTCTTGTAAACTACAGTTTCATTGCTTCTACAAACCTCTGGCCTGCAGCAGTAAAACTGACATCTCCTGAAAACTTGATTTTGTTGCTGTTGACACGGGCCAGCCAGCTTCAACCAAGTATTGGTCTGGGTGCAGAAATATGTTACTGATTGTGCCCAAAGACTTAGACTTTGTATCTTTCAGTGTTTTGATGATCAAGAGGTCTGGTAAGTGGAGGAAGGGAAAGATTGTGTTTGGAATTCTCAGGTAGTCCCATGCCCTTAATGCTACCTTTCTCTGGCATTTATTCAGTCTCTCCAAGAGAAACCCAAGCTAAGATTTCTTTTCAAATCTAGCAGACTGAAAACAGACATGGAGTCAGCTTGGTTTTCTTAGTGTATCATCCTCTTGTTTCTCGTATTTGTTTGCTGTGAGTCTCTTGGAATGGATTCCTTACGCTAGGAATCTATCTTCTCTGTTCCTCCTCTTCCTCCTTCCCCATCCAACAAAAAATCTTGAAAGCAAAAGCTTTTTCCAACCTTTACGTACCACTGGAAGCGATCGGCTCACTGTGTAATGGTGGTAGAGCAGTTCTGAACCAATAAAGGCACTTGTCAGAAACTGTATGTGCCACCTAGCTTGTAAGTACATTCAGAAGGTGGGAGAGAAGCTAAATTAATAGTGCTGGCCATTGAAGTGGCGTGAACTTCCCCATGTTGAGGTTTGAAGGAGGGCAGGAGCTCAGCCACCTACCTTTCCTTTTGCTTGTATTGCTGCTTGTATGAGGTGCTCTACAGCAGTGGTCTCCAGACTCTTTTGGTTGTGCATCCCTATCAGTAAAAAATTTTTGAGCACGCACCCCCAATATGTGTATATTTATATAAATATATATCTAAATAGAAGTTCTAATATTTTCTTCCCGCATCCCAATGGATTGTCTTGCGCATCCCACTTTGGAGACCACTGCTCTACAGCATGCTACGCAAATCCTTTTTGAAGGAAGCTAGCTGTTTCATAGTTTCATAGTTTCTAGGGTCGGAAGGG